TTACTCAAAAATTAATTTAAGCTATGTTATCTATAATACTATCATTAGAAAAATTATACCAAAATATCCCACGAGTTGATGTGTATAAATGATTAATTTTTCTGGAAGTATATGTTTTTAAATAAATTTATAATTCCTAGTTGACTTCAATTTAAGAAGTTTATTATTAATAGATGAAAAAATTTTCAAAAGTCCCTATTAATATTACGTGAAATTTGAATTTTGTGATTTCCATTGAATTACTTAAAAGTTTGCATCACTCATTACTGAACTCATTTTTTTCAAATTAAAAAAACATAGTCAATAGTGAATTGTAAAATCAAATATACTCAATTTTTTTATCTTAATAAATTGATCAAATAAATCAATTATTTTAATTTTTAGATGCTTTGCCAAATTATCAAAATGAAGATTATTTAATCATTAAATTAGATACTTAAAAAATTAAATTAATTTGGTGATATATTTTAATAATTTTAATTAAGACATCAAGAAATGCTCAAGTAGTTTAACTTCCTTATCTTATATTTAATAGACGCGTATTATACATTTTATATAAAGATGAAATAATCTAATTTTAATTTAATTTTATTCAGCTATCATTTAAAAAAAGCATTATTATTATTAAGAAATGAAGCATTAATGATTTTTATATCCGATTAATTCAAGAAAAAAGTAATTGGTTATTTTAGTATTAATTGAGCGATTAACATTTGTTAATAAAATTATGAATTTAATAATGAGAGGAAAATCTTAGTGAAGTATAATAATTAGATTTTGATTAAAACTTGAAGTATTATGATATATTATAAAATTAAGTAACATGTAATTTAATAAGAACATTTACGAAAGAAGAATATTTTTATGAACTTTTGGAAAATAATAATTTGATAATCACTTAACTCACTTTTTGAGTTTGAGTTATTTCTCACATTCAGCTATAAATATAAATTATAAAATACCTTTATAATTTTTAGCCCATTAATAATCAGGATTGATCTAAATAGCCTTATTGTAAAAAATAATAGCTTCTGAATATTTTTATAATTGTTGTATAAAATTAAATCTATTAAAATATAGTAAACCTTTACTACCTAAAGATGTATCATGATTTGGATTAAGATTCAATACTTAGTATAAAATCGTAAGAGCTTCTTTATATTTACCCAGCATTGTTAATGAGTCACCTATGTGTAAGAATTTAAATTACCTTTAGTAATTAATGAATTGACATGGTTCGAATCTATCGACAAATTTTTATCTGCCCATATAATTGCATCATTGTTATTCCCAAGCATATTTAAAGAATCAGCTAATACATTTCTGTATGATTTGCATACCTTTTGTAAATAATGAATTGACATGGTTCGAATCTATAGACAGAGCTTTATCTGCCCAAATAATTGCATCTTTGTGATTCCCAAGCATACTTAAAGAATCTGCTAATAAATTTGAATATGATTTGTATACCTTTTATATATAATGAATTGAAATGTTTAGGATTAATCATAAATGCAACATCGAATAATTTAATTGTTTCTTTATATTTACCTTCAACATATAATTTGTATCCTTAATAAATCATTGGATTACCTTTTTAATATAATTATTCTACTTATTCTTATTGATTAGATTAAATATAATATACTTACTCTATTTTCAACTCTGTTATATATATTTTTAATGATATGATCATATCATCTGAAAATTTCTTTATTTCGTCAAATAAACCTTTTTTAAATTCATCAAATTTGATCACTTAATCTAAAGCTGAATTCAATTGCTTTGCATTCAATCCTAACAACCTCTCTTTAGAGAATTGATATTTTTATTCCAATCCTTTTTTTAATTATTCAAATAATTTGATTATTTCTCCAAATATCAAACTTAATTCTGATATTAATATTCCATTTTCTTATTCAACATTATAAAAAAATTCAATTAGTTCCTTTAAATTCTTCTAATCCTTAATATGAGCAACATGATCTCCATTCCTAAGACATTCATGACAATAAACTCTATTAGCTTTACATTTTTCATTCAAATAAGCTAATTCAACATAATCATGTCCTTCAATATAAAATTTTATCTAAAGTTCTTTTATCATATTAAATTATATTTATTTGTATTTCTATTAAATGCTTAAATAAAATTTATATATTATTATTTCATTATTATTGATGAAATTAAGAAATTTAAATAAATGGAAGATCTAATAACAATTGCTTTAATATTCAATTAGATAAGCTTATTATTGTTTTCTATTCGTAATTTAAAAGAAGGAACTATAAAAATAACTCAATATTTTTTCAATATATTTTATATTTGAGAGATGAAGATTGCCTACATTTGAAATTAAATGAATTCCTTAAAATAACCAAGAAATCATCATAGAAGTATTATAGTTATAATCTAAATTCTATAATTTTAAAGGAATTATTTTTAACATTATCATCATTTATTTTTTAAAGATAAATTAAGTTGTAATACTTTAGATGATAACAATTATTATATTGAAAAAAGTTATTGTAACATTAACTAGTATTTAGGAATGAAATAGATAGATCTATGCAAATAGCAAATTCAAACCTTATTAATTTTGAAACCTTTAAATTTTGACTTTTTTTGTAGTATTAACATAAAATCTAATTTAGAATTTACAAATTTTCTATCCAATTTTTTGCAAGGATTCTGACCAGCTTCTATTAAAAGAGTATTATCAACTGGGTATTTTAAATCTAATGAAAAATCCTATCATCTTATCTAAACATTCGAATAAAGATATTCATTATCAATTTGTTCTTATAACTATTTAGAATAAACAAGTTTTTCTTTAAAAAAGTTAAATTGATTATCAAAAAAATTTTGAAATACAATAATGTTAATAATG